CGAAAAGCCAATGCAAGTCGATCAGTCGTTGGAACGATTTCACCTGTACAAAAGCGACCATATCCCAACTTTATTTTTGTATGAATGGAAAACCCTTCTAGTAAGAGTTTGCCTGTTCTCAAGCAACAGCAATTAAGCCGTAGAGCCTGTAATCAATGTTAGTGAGCTCAATTTACATAAATATCGCATGGTGCAATTTCACGAAAAATCCCAGTTCGTATATATCATGCATATCATTGTTTTGACGGTGACAGTTCTTATTAGTCTTTCTTTCCTTTACGATTTTGGTTCTCTTTGTACCTTCGCTATTGTAAGTTCTTTAGATCGACTGTCATGCCTTCGGTTTAACAGAACACTATTTCATGGTAGCAGCCACGTTGATTCATCGTGTTCGGATATCTGCACTTATGTAACAATGTTATTCAATAACCAGCAAACAGAAATGACCTCCTTGTTTTCTGACAGATTTTCCCTTCGATACGTAACAACTTTTGTATTTTTTTAACCACTTGCTTAGTTGGCGTTACAAGTTCGACTGCACAAGTTTTCTGAGACTGTTCATTGGTCGTATAGTCTGGTAACGCCAGTCGTTTGGGTATTTTGCACAATTAATATCATTGGGTTAGAGTACTGTTCTTTAACTATGTTTTGTTATCTTTTATGAAAGTTAAAGGGTCGTTAATTTACCTTAGTGTGTTATAAAGAAGCCAAAGCTCCAGAAAGTGTAGTTTTACAGAACGAAAATATTCCAGTTTTGGTAATACACAACTTCCCTGTTCGTATTCTAAGTTCCAACTTAATAACCTCACTGGCTATCCGTTTCAGGATATCTAGGATAAAAAAACCCAGATTGGTCAACAACAAAATTGAAATCAGGAATGACTTCTATAAAACATAGAAATTCTGTTTGGTTACTTTGTAATTTTATGATTCGATGCTAAGGAGTCACCGATTTAGTGCTGTATTTTTTATTTTAAGTGCCGGTGAGATAAAAATGGACCAATTTAAACAATTTTAGCGGTTTAAGGAGAGACAGAGGAGGGAAAAGTGTCAGGTACAAAGAGTGCTGAAAGTAGTTGGGTTAAAGTGGTTTCGCTTAAATGACTTGTCTCAGAAGTCGGATACATTTGAATGTCAAAAACCAAATCAGGAGAAAATAGAAGTTCTAACAAGAAGATTAACCATATGATGATCCAACCCTAAACCCTAACTGTTATGAATGACCGTAATAACAGTGAACTTGATTGTGCACCATCTGTGATCATGAATTGGTTCGAACTTCTCATGATTGAATTTGGTTATTTCATATCAAAAGTTTAAGCACCATTTTGCTTATTATTATTTTTTTCTACTTAGTTGTAAGAGTAGACCCGGTTATCTTTAACTTAAATTTCATGTAAATATTCATACATATTGTCTCCATCGCAAAGTATTCGTGTTGTAGTCATGATTTTGTCTTATTCATATCATGTCAATATATTGGTCGTATACCACATGTCAGATTCAATACAACCAGAAGCCTGAAGGATGAATATAATTTGTCATCGGTAGAGGTAGACACCCTTATACCTACAAGATTCGAACTCAAAAACCTTGATCATTGTGACTATCAGATTGCTCAAATTGAGCATTATTCCCAGAAACAATATTAAATCTGAGAGAATTCGCTACCGGTATTCATTTTTCGTCCTTCTTCCTTCTGTTGCTAAGGAAGTTCGCGACCTTTTTCTAAGACCACCAACAAAACAGACATACACCGTTTAAATACGAAAGTTAGTGAGGCGTCTGCATTTGTTAAATGGCCAAATGACTCAAAGCTTCTCCAAGGAAAAACATTAGGTGATAGGTTGCCATCACAGTTTTTACATCATCTCCAAGTCTTAGTGGGAGAAAACACAGTGATCGAAAGTCCTAAAACAAGGATGGATACAAGCTCTCTCATGCTATGCCCAACGCTGTTTGGGTGAACAATACCCTGACACCTCTTTATCTCACTTGACGCGTATTGCAGATGGAATAATGGGAGAGGATCCCTCAACTGGATGACGCACGATATATCATTCACAAAAAGAAGAATCATCAAAAGAACCAGTTACAACAGAACTCATTTCCATTGTTCAGAGTATTGCAGAAACTGTCACTACAATGCAAATTAGTCATAGAGGCAGAAACAGGTCGCCAAGACAACCGAGATTCGAGTTACGGAACAGGTCACAGACGTTCAGACAATCTGGACAGTCTTGATATTATCACTGAAAGTTTTTTGCTAAATCAACCAAGCGCAGTCGACCAAGAGCCTGGCCTGATAATACTCCTAAGGATTTAGTAAGCGATTAACCATACCCCATGTCGACGACTGAGGAGGGGTGCCTAAATAATCGCTTGTTTTAAGTTAGATAAAGAACTTAAGGTTTGGAGTTTTGAGTGGATGCTGGTGCTGAGTTCGGTGGTTGGCCTTCCAAGGTAGATGTTTGTTTGAGATTTTGGTGAGTTTATGGTCACCATAGCTTGCTCTCAGAGTTATTTCGCTAGTAATATGGTCTGAAATTATACTTTGACTACGGGATATAACACAGCACTTTCAGTTTGGAGTTGTAAATTTGTATTACGTAGTGCTTTGGGTAACATAATCAAGGCCACTTATGGTTTACTGCATGATATGATCAGGGCAATGATAAGTCTTGATGAAGATGGATAGTATTGTACTATTATTCCTAATATATAAAACTTTTTTAAACAGAAAGATCGAACTGTCAGTCACCTAGGACTTAAATCTGGATTCTAAGGGAAGATTCTTGGCTGCAAAACGACATAATTACCGTATTCGGACCTGAAAAACTTGTGAATATGAAACTAGCAGATAAAAATAAAAGCCTATGATGAATTAAACCTATGGTTGTCAAACTCAATACTGTCTTAACTAAAGACCGCATGCATTTTTATAAGTGCTCACTGAATTACGCTCCCTCGGGTATTCCATAGAGGTTCTGTTATAATTAGTGGAAATTTGAGAGATATGCTGAATTGATGTCAGACCGTCCGTATCAAATAGAAGGCAACAACATTATCTTTGTATGAGCTGAGATTTATTCCATCGTTCGAGAACCACTGTGGCTGTATTGACCTTACAGTGTTCCATGGCGACAATAACTTTCATAGTTAGCGGTAAATGATAACGTTATTCTCCTTGTGGTATGGAGCCACCACTTCACACGGTCGTGAAATGCTCTTGAGTGAAGCTACATACCACTTTGAAAGTAGATTTCATGACAGAATACTCTCTGATGGTTGAAGGACGCTAATACGAGGAAATAAGAAATATGTCGTGCAGCGACACTTCACTATCAAAAGTGAAGTGTGATACTGGAATCATTTGCGACACGATCTCGATGTTATATATGTCCGTAACTAACTGACCAAATCGTTGCTTAAGCTCCCACGACGTAATTCTGGTCTGGTGTGTCTGTAGAGCATCCACGTTGCTTGATGACTATAATTCCATTATTTATTGTACTAACCAAATTGTTTTTACGATTAGACAGAGATAACGTTTTCTGACTATAGCTTTCACATAGACTCTGGGGTCTCCAGCATCATGTTTACAGTCTAGTAGTATATCTGTGGGCAATTTATAGACGTTTTGAATGCGACGCTTAAATAACAATACAAAATTAATTACAATGAGCTAAAAACAGAAAAAGGGAAAGAAAACATTGTCATAGGTTTGTATAAAGTACAGCAAAGTATGATCGACGCAAACTGGTAGTGCGATGAGGATGCTTATTATCATGGCAGAGTGGTATCAAAAACTTATGACTTGATAGACTAGTTCGAAGCTCACTACTATTTCACTTTCTTTTTAGTAGATAAGTGTAAGGTTGTACTGTTTTCCGCCCATTTTAGGCTTCTGTTTGGCCCATTAACTACTACTATAATTCGTATCATCCTTATTGTCTCTATTTCGAATCCACGGAATTGATTGCTAACATTCCGTATTCCAAATTGTTTGGTTGAGCGTGTTTTGACTTGCACGAGTTCGTGGTTTTCTCATGACTAAGTATTCTATTGATGTATGCAAACCTGATAAAGGTCGTTAGAAACCTCCTAATGTGTGTTTCCTCGTTTTTATTGTCTCCAAACTCAGTAGGCGTTGTGAACAGGTGTCACAAAACTTTCATATATATAAACGTCATACTTCCGACCGATTTGACGACTGCTTTGAAACCGCTTTTGAACAGTAGACACAAGAATATTGTGAACAAATCCTCAACACCTAGGTAAATCAGTTTTCTCATTGATGTACGCGTGAAAGTTGTCTCTTATCGTCGATCAGAATTATTGATAAAACATATATCGAAATTTTCTTTCAATAAAAATATAAACCTAAGTTTTCCAGTTATCTATCTTTTATGCACCGGCATGTTTGCAATACGACAATATTTTTACGTTTACCACTCATTTAACAGTATCCGATTTTAAGGTAAGTATTCTGTATTTCTTCAGTACATTGTGTTGTGGTCCCTTCAATAGTGAGATTCTGTACAGCTTTTAAAGACACGATTCCGAAAAAAGGAAGTTACCGAATTGATACAGTAGTGCCTTCAAACTCCCTGGTACGGTCGGAGCTGGAGATAATCCATTCTACTCGAAATACTCTCATATGACCACGTGTTTATGTTGGACCCACATACTGGACTGAGTCAGTGTTATTTCAGCCATACTATACTGAGTTTGATAATTCAGAAGACGGTAAAAGCAATAAATTCTTTCAACTAATGCAACAAACGTGCAAAATGATCTAGACTATACTCATAAGAGGTACTACAGGAAAGAATGTAACTACAATTGAAGATAGTGGTGCAGGTATCTGATCAAACTTGGTTGTCACAATAGGAATACGCCACCGTCAGTCAAGAAGTAATATTCTACTCAAAGAAGAAGTGTAGGTCAATTTAATTTACTCAGAATATGAGCGATCAACTAGAAAGCAATTTGTATATCAGAAAGTATATTTAAGGACCCGTGTATAATCACAAACTTCCACAGGTGAAACATGAAACGTGTTTAAAAGTCGGTCTCACGAGAAAGAAGCTATCGGGTCACAAGGCATTAACCAAAGTATGTCAATCTACCATGGTGAGTGCCATAAAAACTATTTTAAGTAGAGCAATCACATAATGATTATACAAAGATCCAAGAATATCCGGGAAAGAGTTAGAATTCAAAATTTATAGACGATCTAATGATAATAAAAGTAGTGACTCTTAAAAATGAAAATCGATTTACAAAATGCAGACAACAGCAAATGAGGCAGTATATACTGAAGAAATACAGAGACCTAGTCACGAGAAAGAAAGACATGGAGAAATTTTCCTCGTATTTGCATGTGAGAATACAAAAATGAAGTTTACATATATACCACTGGGAGGAAAGTTTTATCAACTGCCTTCTAGCAGTGTGAAAGCTGTTTACGAAATGTTGAGGACAGTTAAATCAAGTCGGCATGCACCGACGTTCCTACCCGGATTGTTGGTAAGCCATGATTCGATACCAATAGTGCAATGGACTATAGGGTTCTGGGGGAACAAAGGCCCTGTAAACGTATTCTTGTTCACTGGCTACATTGGGACAGCATCACCCAATGTTATCCCACCACCCTGCAACAAAACGTCAGAACCAAAGAATCAAGGTGTGAATTCTTATGAAAACTAAGTGCTTCTTTTGGAACACCAGGATAATATCCCAGCCGAAAGGTAGACTAAATGATGATTACTACTAAAAAAAACTGTTCACTCGTTAGTTCCGATGCTCTCAAACCCTACACAAAACGACTAGTTAAAACGTGACAATTATATTTGAAATAATCTCAGCGACTGAAATTTAGGTAATTCGAACTTTTGTTCAACAAACTTGTCTTGACGTATTCAGGTTAATAGTCGATTGTTATTGTAATTTTCACCTAGAATGGCCTATCTGTACTCAGTGCTTAATTTTTGTCGAACTGTTCGTCCTAAGATTGACGACTATTCGTAGACTTGTTAATGCTCATTTTGTTTTTAAATTGCACTACCGGTCTCCTACTCTATTTCTATTTGGTGCACTTTGATTGTTCGTATACTGAACACTCTCTAACCCACTTGTGTACATCCCTCTGTGAATTCGGCCATATATATCTGGTATTGATTAGTTTGGTTGAAGCTTTTGCGCCAGGATGAGACAAAGAATGAAAGTTATTATATATCAACTTCCGCATACTTTTGGGAACGAAAGGTCGCGGCATTGCCTTGGTCGTGTCACAGTAAATTAGAATACCATCGATAGGTGATGGTAATTGTTTTGGATTGAGACTTGAATTGTTTGTTTTAAGTAGGTTTTGTAATTCTAGATCCTGCTCTTGTTCGTGTCTCAACGTCTCGAAGTTTACTGTAGACTGCTGTAGCACATTCATTTCTAGTCTAGATAAAGCATCTGCCGCCTGATTGTCCTGACATTTGACATGTCGGATATCGCTTGTGAACTGTGATATATAGTCAAGGTGTCGGACTTCTCGAGGTGAGTATTTACCGGCTCTCGCTTCTAATGCATTCGTTAGTGGTTTGTGATCCGTAAAGACTATAAATTCCCTGCCTTCTAACATGTGTCGGAAGTGTTTAATGGTCAGGCAGATTGCAAGAAGTTCTCGCCCGAAGGTAGAATACCTTGTCTCTGCTGGAGCAAGTCTTTTCGAGAAGAAAGCAATCGGTTTCCAGGCGTTTTTAACCAGTTGGTTAAGGGTGCCGCCTACTGCTTTACCTGAAGCATCCACCATCAAAGCAAGTGGGGAAAGAGAATTCGGATACACCAATGTAGTTGCTTGAGCCAGTTTATCTTTAAGCTGTTTAATAGCTTCGACGGCGTCAGAAGACAGTTTGAATGCTTTTGGTTTTCCTTTAAGTGGATCTGTCAAAGGTTGCATTAATTGTGTACAACCGAGTATGAATCTGCGATAAAAGTTAATTAGACCTAGAAAATTTCTCAGTTGTGTTAGAGAACTAGGTATGAGGTATTGTTAAATGGTGTCCACTTCTTCTTTGATCGGTGTAATCTCTTCTGGGCTTATTGTGTGACCGAGAAATTCTAGAGTTCGAACACCGAAAACACACTAACTTTGATATATGTTCATTCCATGTTCATCCAGTCTTTTTAGCATTGCTCGTACATGCTGTTCGTGTGATTGTAAATCGGGGCTGGCAATTAACAAATCGTCTATATACCCTTGTGCAAATGGCATATCTCGAAGTAGGTTATCCATGAATTTTTGAAATGTTTGTGCCGCATTCCCCAGGTCGAATGGCATGCGTACAAACTCGAACAAGCCAAAAGGTTTGGTAATAGCTGTCTTGGGGATATCTTCATCAGCCACCGGGACATTGTGATATGCCCTGACTAAGTCAGTTTTAGTAACTATGTTCATACCCTGTAAACCGTTTGTGAAATCTTGGATATGCGGTATTGGGTACCTATCTGGTACAGTTTGACGGTTGAGGGCTCTGTAATTCCCACACGATCGCCAATCGCCTTCATTCTTCTTTGGGATCATATGCAAAGGGGATGCCCATTGACTATCAGAGGGACGGATAATACCCAGTTGTAGTATATAGTCGAATTCGGCCGTGGCGATTTTGAGCTTATTTGGTGCTAGTCTTCTGGGTTTTGCAAACACAGGTGCACCTTCGGTTTTGATAGTATGACTTACTTTTAGTTTGTCTTTGTAAGGCTGTGGGGTTGATCTAGTTAAGTTTGGAAATTCCGCCAATATATCTTGGAATTTCGCTGTTGTTACTGGAGGAGTTTGAATCAAGTTAAGAGATGTGATGTGACTTTCTTTGCCTTTTGTGTAATTCGAAGTTTCTTTCGGTGTTAAGCGTCGTTTCTTAGTGTCAACTAGAAATTCGTATCTCTCTAGAAAGTCCATCCCCAGTATTGCCAGATCTAAATCGGTTACAGTGAAAACTCAGGGGAATGGCCTCCTGAATCCCAAATCTATTGTTAAAGTTTTCTACCCGAATGTCACGATTTTAGTTTTATTGGCAGTTTGAAGTGTAATTGGGGATGTTCCTCGACTCAGCTCAGTTTTATTTTAAGGGATGATACTAAGAACGGCGCCAGTATCTACCAAGAAATTCAAGCCAGAGTTTCTGTCTAACATAAAACAAACGATTGTTTAGGCGCCCCTCCTCAGTCGCCGCGACCTGGGGAGGGTTCACTCGTTTCCCGCTTTCTTGGAATTTTACTTAGGCTAGGCGCATAGTTGCATGCACTTGGTTGGGTTGACACCAAACTTCTAGTGATACCAACAGAACTGCCCAGATTGTCTGGACATTTGTGACCTGTTTTGTAACTTGGGTCTTGGTCATTGTGGTGACCTACTCCTGTTTCCATGACCCATTTGCATTCTGGCGACAGCCTCAGTGAGACTTTTAACACTCGCAATGAGTCCTTCTATGACTGGGTCTTTTGCTGGTCCTTCTTTTTGTGTATGATTTATCGTGCGTGATCCAGTTGGAGGACCTCTTTCCATTATTCTATCGGCTATAGGCGCTAAATGAGATAAAGAGGTTTCAGGATCTTGTGTATCCAAACAGTGTTGGACGTAGCATGTGAGAACTTGTGTCCATCCTTCTTTTAAGACTGCTTCACCCACTAAGACTTGGAGGTGACGTAAAACTGTGACGGCGACCTATCACCTAGTGTTTCTCCTTAGAAAAGCCTTTGGATTCTTTGACTGTCTGATAATGATAAACGGTCTATTATCTCTCTTCTTAAGATGGTGTATGGTTGTGGTTATGGTGGACTTAAAATCAAATCACGTCGTGCTCACCAGTTTCGTGCCTCTAGGTAACCCTCGTGCTATTGATAGAAGAAACCAGACAAGTAGTGAATTGGTCTTTATTTAGATCTTCGCACAGTCACAGTGGAGCGTGGGATTGTTTGTTCAGACAAACAAAGCCTCTCAACATTCTATATAAGATAATAGGAAATATATCGCCTATACAAAAATAAAGAAGTGAATGGATACTTGAACTATACTGTTTTGACATATGCTTAGTTGTTTGAAGTGAACTCGTAACCAACCAACCTAAGCTGTTACAGAACCACCACTAGACTATGTTAAGTATACAAATTTCGAATGTGGCAAAGGAGGGAAATTTCATAAAATTATCCATCAGGACATCGAAAATTCCGCTACATTACTACGTTATCCCAATCCAATGCGTACTCAACGTTATGCTGATAATTCATTGAAGATACGTGATCCAGTTCACGAAAGTGAGATCAAGTTTGGTAAGTGTTTATCCTGTAGCCAATTTCATACTCGTAATTCATGTGCATTTCGTAATGCTAAATGTTTTAAGTGTGGTGAGATAGGACAGAGTCCGTTTTTAATACTACTGTTTATTTCGCTGCAACTGATGCTAAAATCTATATTTCTGATCCTGTTGAGTGTTTCTGACGATCATTTATCTTCATCCACGACTTCGAAAAGTGATATAGAGTTACATAGCAGGCAAGAGTTCAACGAAACTCAGAGTCCTTGTGAGACAACAGTTTCTTATCAATCAACTTTTCAGATTTCTCATGTTATTGTACTAGATATGGTTTTTCCGAATGATTCACATATTTCTGATGAAATTTCCTACAAATCTGAAGAAGATATGTTGAGTGAACCTAGTCATGGACGGAAACCTGGTGTGGTTTTGATAGATGCTGATTTTCCTAATGATCTTTTGCTCTGCAATGACATTCTTAATAAATTTGAGGAAACTATTTCAGAAGAATCGAATCCTGATGTCATATCAAATATTATTTGCATTTGTTCCTGCGGGAAACTTTCTGGTTTATTTCTCAATAAGTGAACTAGTTGAATAGGTAGTTGGGATAAAATGTGAATTCGTCATTACTTGAAAGTCAGTTTTCAAAATACATCGGCGTGCTATTGTTGAAAAGAATTTCTGGTAGACGTCATTATGAGAGCAAATAATATTTGATATGACATCAGGATTCGATTCTTCTGAAATAGTTTCCTCAAATTTATTAAGAAATGCACATGAATTACGAGTATGAAATTGGCTACAGGATAAACACTTACCAAACTTGATCTCACTTTCGTGAACTGGATCACGTATCTTCAATGAATTATCAGCATAACGTTGAGTACGCATTGGATTGGGATAACGTAGTAATGTAGCGGAATTTTCGATGTCCTGATGGATAATTTTATGAAATTTCCCTCCTTTACCACATTCGAAATTTGTATACTTAACATAGTCTAGTGGTGGTTCTGTAACAGCTTAGGTTGGTTGGTTAAGAGTTCACTTCAAACAACTAAGCATATGTCAAAACAGTATAGTTCAAGTATCCATTCACTTCTTTATTTTTGTATAGGCGATATATTTCCTATTATCTTATATAGAATGTTGAGAGGCTTTGTTTGTCTGAACAAACAATCCCACGCTCCACTGTGACTGTGCGAAGATCTAAATAAAGACCAATTCACTACTTGTCTGGTTTCTTCTATCAATAGCACGAGGGTTACCTAGAGGCACGAAACTGGTGAGCACGACGTGATTTGATTTTAAGTCCACCATAACCACAACCATACACCATCTTAAGAAGA